AATGGAGAGTTTGTCTATACAATCTTTTCAAGAGGAAAAAAAAAAAGAGGCAATGTCACCCAACTGATTCTACTAGACATGTAATCTTGACCAAAAAAAATTCAAGAAAGGTTAACAGAAATATTATGAGCCAGTCTCATTAATGGAAACAAAGGTAAAAGTCCTTTAAAAACGAGGAAATAAGTTCCAGTGACATATGTTAATATACACAAATTCTGGAGCTACACTCCATGTATTGAAATTCTACTTCCATCACTTTCCATCTCTAATAATCTTGAGCAACTTATTCTTTCAATATTCAGTTTCACTAGTAAAATAAGAATAATTTTCAAAAATACCTATTTTATGGGATTGTGATGAAGATTAAACAATTTAACACAGGTAAAGCACTTAGCTGAATGCTATTAGAGGAGATAATTTGCTGTACAGATTTTACCTATACTATCATATATCATTATTATATGGAAAATAATGTGCAATTCAGGCTTAATTTTAAAATTGTAACAGTGGTTTAATAATAAAAATGGTCTGTAAATGTAATTAACTGCACAGATCATTAAAAGAATATAATAATTATCAATAAGAGTACAGAATGCATATTTAATAAATTCAATGCCCACTCCATTGGGAGAGGGTACTAGGTTTGAACTCAGGGGCCATCTTATCACTGAGCTCCATATACCCCCAGTTCATTGTTTTTGTTTTTGTACCAGGGATTAACCTGGGGGCGCTTAACCATTGAACCACATCCTTTTTTTATTTTGGGACAGGGTCTTGCTAAGTTACCAGGCAGACTTCAAATTTGCGAAACACCTGCTTTAACCTTCCCAGCAGCTGGGATTACATGTGTATGCCATCATGTTTGGCCCAGTTCATTTTTTTGTTTTTATGTTTTTGTCTTGAGACAGGGATCTTGAAAGGTTGCTTGAGATTGGCCTTAAACTTGTGATTCTCCTGCCTCAAACTCTCAAGTTGCTAGAATTATAGGTGTGTGCCACCAGGCCAAGAAAATACCTATTCTTAATTTTAAAAAAATCATCAAAATAGGAATAGAAAGCAATTTCCTTACATCTTAGAAAATACTTACTATCTTAAGAGCAAGCATTATTAGTAGTAAAATATCAAAGACATGGGTATATAAGTGACTGCATGACCAATGTAATTCTGCAACCTGTACACTCAGAAAAATGAGGAATTATACCCCATCTGATTCAAATGTATGATATGTCAAGATCATTGTACTGTCATGTGTAACTAATTAAAACAAATTTTAAAAAAATTAGGAACAAGATAAGGATGCCTGCTGTGCTGGGAATTTGGCTTACTGATAGAGTAGTTGCCTAGCATGAGTGAGGCTCTAATTTTGATCCCCCTGAACAACCGCACAAAAAAGTACTCTCCTTTAGAGCCAGGTGTTGTGGTACACACCTGTAATACCAGCTACTTGGGCTGAGGCAGGAAGACCACAAGTTCAAGGCCATTACGGGCAATGTAGAAAGTCTCAACCCCAAAAATGAAATGAAAAAGGGATGAGGATACAGCTCAGTGAGTGAGGTATTGAGTTCAATCTCTACTACTAACGGAGAAAAAAAAGGTAAGGATACCTGCTATCAGCACTTTTACTCAACATTAAGTCCTGGCTAATGTAATAAGACAATGAAAGAAATTATAAACATCCAAAAGGAGAAAAAAAATTTGTCCATATTTCCAGAAAATTTCAAGGAGCCTATTTTTATATCCCATTTTCATCAAGAGTTGAATGATATTATTGAGAACAAAATCAATAGAGAAAACATAAATTTTAAAGATCTCATTTAAAATGTGGAAAAATAGAATAATAAATTTAAGAAAAGAAAACACTACCTGTATGAATTTTATGAAAGAACATTTTAAATGACTTGAAGTATACAAAAAGATATCATGTTTATGGATTAAAAGATTGGAAATGCAGAAAAACTATTTTTGTTATTGCATTATTAGACCTCTGAACAAATTTTATTGACACTTGGGACCTAGATTAAATGCAATTATAGAAAGTAATTTATGACTAATTTCAATAGTGAGAAAACTCCAGATTTACCTTCTGCAGGAAATGTGTTAGCATTTCAAGGTGAAGTGGAAGACAACCTGGACAATGGAGACTTTTTCTTTGTGATGCTGGAACCTCCAGCTTATCTTTTCTTTGGAGTAATTAATTTATATTCCAAAGGCTTAGAGAAACAACCCAAAATTTCACTTTACACTTCCTAGAAGACTCTCTCGAAAGGGGGAATAGGATTAAGAAGCAAGCAGCTACCTCTTTTCTCTATTAACACCTGGTAAATGTTTTTGAGGTTCCTCCTTCACAATACAGATTTCTCATGTGAAGGGTTTCATCCAGCCAGCTCTCAGGGCATTGCCCTACAGATAAAAATTGGCATACAAGGAAGCCATGTGGTTAATATCTGCTGTATGTAATTGTTAACAATCTGCTCTGCTCTTCACTTTTGTGTGTGCACTCAGAATATTAATAATTAAAACAAAACTTCACAATATTATGTTAATTCTCCTGATGTTGATCTATAGATTTGATGTAATTTTAATCACAATTCCATCACAGTTTTCAAGGAATAGAGTTGCAGACTTATACAAATATGAAAATCTCATATATATAAGAGAGGTGACATCCCACAATACTGTAAAAGGAAGGCCTTTTTAGCAAATGATCAATGGGTGAGTCCTATGGAAAAAAGTAAAATTGGACCCTTATCTCACATGATACAAAAAAACTGAATTTCCAGTGGTTTTAAAGACATAAATAAGAATGATCAAACTTAAAAGATAAAAATTTAGTGATTTTTTTTAACCTCAGATTTCTTAATACTGTACAATCCAACAAATGTACTAACACAGAAGTACTGACAAGCCTGACTACATTAAACCTAAGAGCTTCAGTTAATCAAAAGTAAAAGAATGTAAATAGACAAGCCACAGGTAGGTATCTTTAAAATATATAACTGACAAAAGGTTAACATGTCCAGAAATTTTTAAGAATTTTTACAAACCAATAAGAAAAAGACAAATAACTGGACAGAAAAATGTAAAAGGAATATTAAAAGCCACTTTGGGAAAAAAAATATAAGTGATGACTGGACATATGTAAATACACCTGACCACTTAAGTAATTAGAGAAATGCAAATCAAAATCACAATAAAAATTATTTTAGACCTGAAACCTCAATTCAGACTAGTTTAGTCAAAAGTAATAAATCTGGAAGTACAAAATAATGTTGAACTTAGAAACTCCTATACACTACTGGGAAGAATTTAATCTGGTATACTGGAAAACAATTTGGCATTATAAAAATAGAATATTTGCTAGCCCTATTAGAAAATGGCAAAGGACCTGAATGGACATTGCTCTAAGGAAGACATGCAAAGAGTCAACGGGTAAGTAAAAAGATATTCAACATTACTAATCACCACAGAAATGAAAATCAAAATCACATAAGATACCACTTACAACTCCTAGAATGGCTATTATTAAAAAAAAGACAAAAGATAACAAATGTTAGCAAGGATGAGGAGAAAATGAATTCCTTTTTTACCATCTGTACGCTATTAATCAAATCTCTTAAAATTCTTTATGCATATAATCTGTTTCTTTTAGGCATTTTTCTTTTCAAAAAATATTCTAAAAAGATTTTTAGTATTAACACCTATTTAGGGAGGGTTGGGGATAAAGCTCAGTTGGTAGAGTGCTTGCCTAGCACTGGGTTAAATCCCCAGCACTACCAAAAAAAAAAAAGATCCTATTTAGAACTGGAAAAACACCTACTGCTATAAAATCTAGGTAACATATTTTCATCTTTATTATGTTAGCTAAATTTGACTGAGAAATCCTACCAATAAAACAATCTGGCGTTAAACCACTCATATCAGAAAACACTAATATTAAAATATTATCTATCATTAAAGCAAATAAAATATTTATCTGCTATAAATGCCAAATATTATTAAAATGGCCATAAATTTAGATAGAGCAATACTAACCACTGCTTGAAATTGCAGGAAATGCAAAAAAAAAAAAAAAAATGTTCTTATCTAATTCAATTTAATCTTTAACAATTTTGTCTATTAGTTCTTTCGGATTAACTTCATCCACAGTCAATTTGTTATTATACAGTTTTTATTTAAAGGTTGTTATTTTTAATTTCTTCTAGATCTTTATTGGTAGGAAGATTTATAAATCTTCCCCAGAAGGATTTCATTATATATTAATCAGTGCATAATATATTACATCATTGAATATAATTTATATCGTTCCTTAAATTACTGATCATTTGTTTGCATTATAAAGTGTTAATCCCAACATTTTTTTCATTTGTTAATGAAAGCCACAATACCTAACATTATGTGGTTCAGGTATTTTCTCTATTGCTTGAATATTATTACTTTATATGACTGTGTTGCAGAGTCTTAGCTATCAGTAAATTTTGTTGATGCTTCCAATACTGTTTTAAATGCTACACAAAGTTCTTAAGAAAATGACTTTAGTTTGTTTATCCATACTGCTTTGAAATAAAAATTGACATTTTGTAAAAATAACTAAATCAGTGATTTTTAATTATAATCTTTTAAAAATGTTCCTATCAGCAATAAGTAATGAAAATGTTCCTGCATTTTAAATTTTCCCATAGATACTAAATATATTCTACTAGTATATTTCTTCAAAATGTTTCTTTTTCAACAACATTCACTTTTAATCAAGTCTTTTAATTAACTTTCCAAATAAACTAAATATTCTTTCCTTAAAAGCCTTAAGAACATTCAATTTCTTCATTACAAGATAATAATCAAATGATATACATCAAAACAATTCTTAAAATTTTTAGATCAACTTTTAAAAAATTAAAACAGACTATATATTGTTAGTATTCATTACAAATGCTTTCAGTATTATGATCACAGAAAATGAAGAACACAGAAAAGGCTTTAACAATTTATTCATATATTTTTACCTTATTTAGCTCTTCCCTTTCTTGTTGTAAAGTTCTGATTTGTTTTTCATAAGCCTTGATTTGTCTAAAAGCATCATCTAATTCTCGCCTCACAGAATTAGCTTCTTCAAGTTGCTGCTCCAAATGACTGGATTCTAAAAAACAAGACAATGCTTCTTTTACCATTAAAGCAAATGGTTGAACCACAGTTTGAAACAAATTAAAAAGAAAAAAAAAGAAGTATTTGAATTTGGTATAGATTAAATCTATTAACACCACATACCAGTATGACTCAAGACAAGTTAAATGAATATTGATTCACTGTAAAGATAGTGAATGACATATGCTTAATGTAAAGATTTGTAAAATTTATGGGCAGAAATGCCTCATATATATTATTATAATATATGTATATATTATATTAGTGCTTGAAACACTAATGTGTATATATTAGGGGAAAAAAAGACCACGCTTCCAAAGACAGCACCTTCAGACCAAATGAAAACTTAAAAACTAAGAAAACAACAAAACCACCCAACCAAGGAGAAAAAACAAGTTTGTCTCTACCCTGGGTAAGCATTATAGGGCTGATGCCTAATTTCTTTTTTTCCTTTTTTTTTTTAAAGAGAGAGAGAGAGAGAGAGAGAGAGAGAGAGAGAATTTTTTAATATTTATTTTTTAGTATTCGGCGCACACAACATCTTTGTTTGTATGTGATGCCAGGCAAGCGTGCTACCGCTTGAGCCACATCTCCAGCCTGCCTAATTTCTTTAAGTTGGTTTTGCTTCTAATAGTTTGGTTCCAGATCACTTAGTCAAGTTTCACCACTGGCTAATTACAAAATAAACTCTGATTTTTAGAGTAAATATCTGAAAACCTCTGATCTAAATCAGTTCTTCCATTTTTTTCAGATGAAATAACTCAGGGAGTTGAATAACTTGCCTAAGGTCCTATTATTAAATGAGTTCCAGAATGAAGGCCAGAGCCCAGTAAACTTTGCACTGACTTCTCCAACTTGGAAATAAATGTTACTAAATAATGTTTCATATGATTGGGTCAGAAGGGTTGTTACTAAACAAAATTGTTAGTTTTCATATATGCTTAAATAAAATTTAAAAAACTCTTAGGAAATGATCCTGGTATCAAAAGTGAACTAGTAAATAAAAGAACTAAAGTTTGTGAAAACAGAATACTAAACACATTCATTGTTAATTCTGTTTTGGACATTTGCTATTCTTTACAACATTATTACTCTAAATGTCAACCCCAGACAAATGGCATTAACCTTCTCCAGGAACTTAGATACACAGAATCTCAGAGTCCACTCAGACCCAAAGAATCAGAATTTATATACAATGTTCAGGTGATTCATTTGTACATTAAAGTGGAACAAATGCACAAAGTTTTGTATATTGATATCATCCTTTCAATAAATGAAAAAGTGATAATATTGTGTTAGTTCTACTGAGAAGAGCATTTCATTTGTATAAACATGTCTGTAGTCTAAAAAAATCACTTAAATACATTAATGTTTCAAGCACTAAATGGTTCCACCTTCCATAAACAAAATAATTTAATGATGGTCAGGGTCCTAAATGCATAGCTTTATTTTAAAATTTTGTTTTAAAACTCTGAAAGTTTATATATATTTATGAATAGCATAGTTGACAACTTTTAAAAATATATGCAAAAAAATTTAACAAATTTTTATTCTATCTTAGTAATAGTTTTTAATGAATGTTTTATATGAACATCAGAAGATTAGCTTTTAACATTTTCTCAAATTTCAGCATTTCATATAGGAATTTTCTATTCTAATTTCCTTCAAACATGTTTAAATAATATTTTTCTGTTATTTTATGCCCAGTATTTCAATAATTTCAATGTAGATATTAATTTAGGTTGTTGTTTATGGTAATGACAGTCAAAATTTAGTAAGTGAAGCTGCTGATTTCTGTCATTTCCTGGTACATTTTAATCAAATTTTATGGCTCAAAGAAATCATCCTAATGGTACATTTAGTAATCACTTCTGAGCATACTCTTTTATGTACTTTTGAAGAGTTCTACCCTAACACATTCGATTTTTTTGGTAAACTGTTAAGTTACTAACTTATTTCTATTGTTCTTTATAAGAAATAAATCCATATTTCATAAAATTATAAATTATATGAAGTTCATAACAAACTGTTTCATAGGATAGCTTCAATATACTTTAAGAATAGTTTTGCTGTTTTATTTCAACTTTTTTGGGGGCGGGGTACTAGGGATTGAACCTGGGGTGCTTTACAACTGAGATACATTTCCAGCCCCTTTTTATTTTTCATTTTGAGAAAAGGCCTCGCTAAGTTTTTTTTTTTTTAATTTTTTATTGTTGGTTGTTCAAAACATTACAAATTTCTTGACATATCATATTCCTCACTTTGATTCAAGTGGGTTATGAACTCCCACCTTCACCCCATACACAGATTGCAGAATCACATCAGTTACACATCCATTGATTTACATATTGCCATACTAGTGTCTGTTGTGCTCCGCTACCTTTCCTATCCTCCACCATCCCCCCTCCCCACCTCTCCCCTCCCCTCCCCTCCTCTCCTCTCTCTCTACCCCCTCCACTGTATAACCCTGAGGGTCTCCTTCCATTTCCATGCAATTCCCCTTCTCTCTCCCTTTCCCTCCCACCTCTCATCCCTGTTAAATGTTAATCTTCTTCTCCTGCTCTTCGTCCCTACTCTGATCTTAGTTACTCTCCTTATATCAAAGAAGACATTTGGCATTTGTTTTTTAGGGATTGGCTAGCTTCACTTAGCATAATCTGCTCTAATGCCATCCATTTCCCTGTAAATTCTATGATTTTGTCATTTTTTAATGCAGAGTAATACTCCATTGTGTATAAATGCCACATTTTTTTTATCCATTCGTCTATTGAAGGGCATCTAGGTTGGTTCCACAGTCTTGCTATTGTGAATTGTGCTGCTATGAACATCGATGTAGCAGTGTCCCTGTAGCATGCTCTTTTTAGGTCTTTAGGGAATAGACCAAGAAGGGGAATAGCTGGGTCAAATGGTGGCTCCATTCCCAGCTTTCCAAGAAATCTCCATACTGCTTTCCAAATTGGCTGCACCAATCTGCAGTCCCACCAGCAATGTACAAGTGTACCCTTTTCCCCACATCCTCGCCAGCACTTGTTGTTGTTTGACTTCATAATGGCTGCCAATCTTACTGGAGTGAGATGGTATCTTAGGGTGGTTTTGATTTGCATTTCTCTGACTGCTAGAGATGGTGAGCATTTTTTCATGTACTTGTTGATTGACTGTATGTCCTCCTCTGAGAAGTGTCTGTTCAGGTCCTTGGCCCATTTGTTGATTGGGTTGTTTGTTCTCTTATTGTCTAATTTTTTGAGTTCTTTGTATACTCTGGATATTAGGGCTCTATCTGAAGTGTGAGGAGTAAAGATTTGTTCCCAGGGTGTAGGCTCCCTATTTACCTCTCTTATTGTTTCTTTTGCTGAGAAAAAAACTTTTTAGTTTGAGTAAGTCCCATTTGTTGATTCTAGTTATTAACTTTTGTGCTATGGGTGTCCTATTGAGGAATTTGGAGCCCGACCCCACCGAATGTAGATAGTAGCCAACTATAGATAGTTGTGTACACAGCCTGGCTAAATTGCTGAGGCTGGTCTTCAACTTGCAATTCTCTTGCCTAAGCCTCCGAAGTACTGGGATTAAAGGCATGTGCCACTACACCCAGCTTCAACATAGGTTTCACTTTGCTTTCACCCCAATATTTCACTTCAGCTGTTTTGCAATGGAGTAGAGAATATCAGATTTCCATGATTCACATTTCAGATACTTTAAAGACGCTTTTAGAAAGCTTAAAAATCATTCATTTAAACAGTAACCTGTGAATTATGAGAAGTACAAAAGAAAATGTTCCAGGTTAAGAAACTGTAGAAAAGAGAAACCACTCATTTTGAACTTTGAACTTCCAAAATTATGAGCTAAATGAACTCCTTTTTCTTCATCAGTAGCCTGCCACAGGTATTTCATTATAATGATGCAAAGCTGACTAATACAGAATTGTAACAATCAGTTTAAATAATAAAAATGCCATGAAACATGCATTTCAAACATTCTATTTTGCTCTAATAGATATTTAGAAACCATGAATGATTTATCTCTGAAAGGACAAAAGAAAATAGAAATGGTGGTTGTCTTCAGAGAGAAAAAAAGAGAATGAAATTTAAGAGGGAATAAAACTTATTTTCACCATATAAACTTTTTTATCTTTTGAAATTGGTGGGGCGGTAATGGGAAGAAACCCATCTAATTTTTTTTTAAAGAGAGAGAGAGAATTTTTTTAATATTTATTTTTTAGTTCTTGGCAGACACAACATCTTTGTTTGTATGTGGTGCAGAGGATCGAACCCGGGGCCGCACGCATGCCAGGCAAGCGCACTACCACTTGAGCCACATCCCCAGCCTCCCATCTGATTTTTCACTAAATATTCTACTATGGAGAGAAACATGCCACTTGTGATTTGAAAAACAGAAGTTTGCATTCTGAAAAGTCATAAACTATTTTACAAGCAATAAAAATCCAGGATGCTTTGAAATTTGGTCAACTAATGGATTAAAATGGGTAAGGCAGGGCTGGGGTTGTGGCTCAATGGTAGATCGCTCACCTAGCACATGTAAGGCCCTGGGTTCAATCCTCAGCACCACATAAAAGTAAAATAAAGATATTGCGTCCATCTACAACTAAAAAATATTTTAAAAATGGGTAAGGCAAAAAAACTTTTGAAAGAAGCTCTCATCAGACTATTTAAAAATATACATTGCAACACAATTAGCCATAACATTTAGGTGAAGTTATGAAAAACTAATTTTAGTGAATAAATAGAAAAAACAGTACTAAGAAATGGGTTAGCTCATATCAACTAAATGGTTCTTAGTACATGCCTGTTATTAAAATTCTGAAACTCAACCTGTTAATAATGAAGACTTAATAAAAGCATCATACAAAGGAGGTACTTTTCTTTGTACTGAGGCATATAAGAGAAATATAAAATTTGGTCTCAAGTCCTCAAGGACATAATCAAGTTAAAAAGAAAAGAGTTAACACTCAATATCATAAATAAGGCAGAAAATTAGATACAAATTATGTTAGTAGGTTATATGTGCTATAGAAATTAAGAGAAGGGTGCAAAGGGGACATGATTAAAATGGTACTTGAAATGCATTACTAGAAAGCTAAGCACAGTGGCAGCATTTGTAGTCTCCATTACTCAGGAGGCTGACGTGGAAGGCTCACTTAAGTCCAGGAGATTTGAGATCAGTCTGAGCACTAGTGAGAGCCTGTTTCTAAAACAAAAGTATAACTAGTGAACTTGAAAGGGGTTACAAAACTGGAGGTCATAGAAGGTTGGTCAACAATCAAAGTATCTCCCCGATGTACAAAGAGTAGTTTCATAGCTTTTCCATAAGTTAATCTCATAAAATAACCCAAACTTCTTCAGAGACACAAAGACATTTTACTTCTAATCAACAATGGGGTAAATAAGTTCCCTAACGGTCACTTTTCTCTGAGAATGAGATAGAGACAAATGAAGAACACATGTTAGTTTAGGACTGGAGAGAAAGAGACACAGTACATGGAGGTATAGAAGCCCAACCCCAAGACCATAAAAGAACAGGAGTTTAAAAAGCATATTACACATTATAGTAAAATTTTCATTTGGAAAAATATTTTTCATATAAAAATATTAAATGAGGGCATAAATTTTTATTTTTGTCTGTAGACCCTCAAATATGTATTTAATATGATGCTAGGCATTGAGGTTAACATTAGGAATACAGTTGTAAAACAAATTCTGTCCCTGCCCTCTAAGAACTCATAATATAGTGAGTAAAGACAATATTCGAAAGCCAAAAAATCATTGTAGATTTATTACATTTTTCTAGAAATTTTTAAATACTAGAAATATAAATAGAGCTATAGGAAAATACAAAATATAACATCATCAATTGGTGGGTATTTGTGTACACAAAGGCCTGCTTAAGAAGTACCTGGAGGAACATTAGATTGAGGGTGTTTTAGATAATTTTTCCTTCAGGGTCAAGGTTAAGTAGGGGCTACTCATAAGACAGGTGTTTAGGGGAGTTATGTTTTATCTCCAACTTTGATATAAAAATATTTTAAAAACTTTGGCTCTAAGGGTGAATGAAGCACAGCTTTTATATTCAACTTTACCACCCATGTCTCTAGCACCTTGAGTAATTCTTAGGACACAACAGCAAATCAATTTTTTACATACTGAAGAGTAAACAAATTTTACTCAAGAAAATACAAAATGGTACAGCCAATATGGAAAATGGTAATGGTATGGTTATTTCTCAAAAAATTAGAATTACTATTTAATCCATAATTCCATTTATAGATATATATTCAAAAGAAGTGAAAGCCAAGACTTAGATATTTGTGCATTCAGGTTCATAGCAGTATTATTCACAATAGCCAAAAGGTAGAAGTGACCTGTGTGTTCCTGGACAGATAAATGGATAAACAATATGTTTTATAGAAATACAATGGCATTTCACTCAGACTTTAAGAGGTATAAAATCCTAATACATGCTACAACATGGATAAACCTTAAGTATATTATGCTAAATAAAATAAGCCAGACACAAAATATAAATATTTTATGGTTCCACTTACATGAGGTTTCTAAAATTGTCAAATTCATTGAGACAGAAACAGAATAGTGATTGCCAGTGGTTAGGAGGAGAAGAGAATGGAAAGTTATTGTTTAATGCATACAGAATTCCACTTTGGGATAATAAAAATGTTCTAGAGACAGATGGTGGTGATGGTTATACAGCAACGCAAATGTGCTTAATACCACTGAACTAAGCATTTAAAAATGGTTAGAATGGTAATTTTTATGTAACACATATTTTATCAGAACTTTTAAAAGGTTACGAATTATGAATGAATGATACTGAAGAGATGGAATGAAACACAGCACATGACTGAAACTATCACATAATGGAAGAGAGCTTGGCAAGGTAAGAATACTTAATAAGGGGATGATCTTTTCTCTCAATATTTTTACTGATTCTATTCTGTCTATGGGAGATAAAAAAAATAAGTAAAGAACAGTCCTATGAGCATTGATTGAAAATATTTTATTGAATAAATAAATAAAATTATGAACTGCCAACACTACTTAAAACAATGGCCCTTTCAATATAAATTAATGGTAAAAGATGATAAGGTGCAATTTAACAAACTATATAAAATTTTTAAAAAGACATGGCCAAACTATATGCTGCCTAGAAGAAACTAACTTCAAATAAAATTATGTAGAGAGGTTGAAAGTAAAAGTGGAGGAAAAGATATACAGTACAAATATTAATGAACAGAAAGCAGGATTGGCTATATTAATATTAGATAAAGGAGATTTAAAAAATTATGAACGCCAGCTTAATAAAGAGTATCTATAAAAATCTAAAGCAAATATTCCACTGAAAAGTGAAAGACCAAATGCATTCTCCCTAAGACTGAATAGCTAGGGTGTTTTTCTCACCAACACAGTGTTACAAGATCTAGATACTGAAACAAGGCAGAAAACAAGTGAAAAGCATACAGATCAAAAAGGGAGAAATAAAAACTGTTTCTATTTGCAGATAATGTAGTTGTCAGCATAGAAAATCCCAGGAATCTTTTTTTTTTTTAAAGTCCTCCTAGAACTAACAAGTTCATCAATGTCACAGAATATAAAATAACATATAAAAATCAATTGTATTTCTATGAATTAGTAATAAATAAGTGGACACCAAAACTGAAAATATAATACCAGCTGTTCAAAAAATGTAATTATTTATTTCTATTCTTATATAAAATGGGCTGGATGTCACCATAGGTTCCCTTTTAGAAACTGGTAGAACATACTATAAATAGAAGCAAAATGTGTTTTTTTTTAAAAATTATCCATTTGATGAGGTCACCGAAGAAGCTCACAACTATTTTGGTGAAGCATACAAATACTATTTATTTAAATGTTTTAGATCAATTCCATCTATTTCACCATAATTTTTAATTATAAAACAAACTTTCAAAAGTTATTGCTATTCAAAGCCTCTACCATAAAAAAAAAAAAAGTAGATCTAAGATAGGTATATAGAGTTTTCCCAAACCAAACTCCTTTGAAGATAAATCACTGCCTATCCTAGCTGGTCTTGTGTTCCACTGCTTTTATAGTGTCACACAACTCTAAAATAAGACATTCAGTTTCACTGTAAATATTTTATCATTGGTACCAAATCAAAGTAAATGATTCTGTTTATACTGTTACTAACCTATTTTTAGAAATATAAATTTAAAGAAATTTGATAAAGAGACATTTCTTAGGAAGTAAACTACTTTTATAAAAAAAAATAGCATTTATACATTATGTTCAAATTTAAGATATCAATATTTATTTAATAAAAACAAAATATTAATGTGGCACCTTAAATCTTTTTTTAAAATAGAAGACCCCGTGTCAGTTCTTCTTTTTTTTTCATTTATTTTTGCCTTAACCTGCATTTCTGGAGAGGCCCAACCCCATTCTAAGATAGTGCCCTCTTTCTTCTGCCCTCCACTTATTCACACATCATGTGATGTCTCTATAAACCCTGCAAAAGGTTATTTCACTCCGAATGAAAACCAAAGACCTCAGAGTAATGATTAAGACTCTGGGTTTACTTCTCTAATCTCATTTTTTTCCATTCTCTCTGATTACTTAGTCTTCCCTATCCATTCCGTCCTCTGTTTACAACATTAAGCACATTCTGATTTTAGGGCTTTGTACTGGCTGGTCCTTCTGCCTGGAACGTGTATTTCCAAAATTACATATGGCGAAGCCCTTTACCTACTTTTAAGTTTGTGCAAACATGTCATCCTCTCAATTAGGCCTATACTAGGACCTACCTTCTTAAAATGATAAAATTCTTCACCTGCACATCTGACTCATCTCCTTATTCTACTCTATTTTAAAGCACTTGTCACTTTCTAACATACTGTTATCATTCATACACTTCCATATTTATTGAGTTTTTTTTCCCCACTGTTTGACCTCCATCCAGGCAAGGCAAGGATTTCTGTCTTTTAAACTCAAAAATAAGAAACAACACCTGGTATTCAATAAATATTTGTTGAAAAATCCATGAATGAATAAAACAGACATGTCAAATTTTAATTAATCTTAGTAATAAACTGAAAAATAAAATATTACAAAGAAAATAAATTTTCACAAATCTTCATGCCTATGTATATGCAGTTCCATTCTATACAGAGTACCTCCACTTCTTCAGTCTAATTCCCTTTTCCCTGTTCATACATATGATTTGCCAAACTCCAACTTGATTTCCAAAAATAAAAGTAGGTCTTTCAAAAAATCATCTTTGTTCTCTTTAAACACAAGTGCTCCTCCTATGTACACTTCATGTACATCTATTAACTTTTTCCCATAGCCTCTTTACCTGTGTTATAATGACTACTTGTATTTCTGATTCCCACACCAAAATATGAATTCCTTGAAAACAAAAACCATTTTTATTTGCTTTTTCCTCACTGATATATAACTTACAACACAATACAGGGACTCAATGGATGTTCTGTGTATAAATAAACCAGTTTTTTAAATCTACTAAAGTGAATCAATGATGAACCACAGAAATTTACCTTCTACTTGTTTCCTTAGTTTTTCAATTTCTTCTTTTAAGGTTTTTATTTCTAAATCCTTGCTTGCTGTTAGTGGACCATCAACAGTTGAATACTGTAGAGCTTGGACGGTCTGTGTTGACTCTTAAAAAAAAGAAAAGAAAATTATCAAAGTACTTTAAATTTTAAAAACGAATATTAATAGTTTTGTAGAAAAATCTTTACATAATTTTATAGACCAGAACATCTATCCATTCAAAAAAGAGCATTATGTCATAAAAATTAAGTCATAAAAATTCCATTGCATATCTTTAAATTATTTACATATGTATAATATATATTTATATATGAATCTACCTTCTAATACATGAGATTTTCCATTTTAAGTACTCGTGTACTCTTGGTGTACTCTGCCAGTGAATCAACTATTTATTCACTCTGTACTAAAAGAGCATTAGCATGTGATAATTCAAAAGGATCATCTGTCAGATGATACATGAACAACTGAATCTGGTGTACAAAAGAAGATTCAAACATGCTATTATATCATCTACGGAAGTGCTAGCCTTCCAAATTTCATGTATGAAAGTTGAGGCCCATCTATAGATGACTTTGGTTCCCCAATTTAGTTGAAATAGATTTATTAATTTATCCTACAGTTCTAATCAGAAAATGCAAGGAACTGAAGAAACATTAACTCTATTGAGGCTTATTCCCAGATATCATCAAAATGATGTCTGGGAATATGTCAGAAATGAAACCACCCTTTGTTCTAAAATAGGTTTCTGCTACATAGGGAAAGGTTCCCAAAAGGTAAGTCTCACCCTTATCAAACTCTCTGTGGGTTAGTGTAAATCATTACCATCTGTTTTGTATTTAATACATATTTAATACATACAGTTAAATTATACAGTTAATGATATAATGATTTTGTTGGTCAATGATATATGGTTATCAAAGTATTTGTTAACTTGAATTAAAGTATAAGATATATTGTGCAACTCTCAAAATTTATATCCAATAATTATTTCTTACATATTTCTTTTTATTTGGGTTCAAAATATACTACAAATTGATTCTTTCTGTATTTATTTTAAAATAATACCCACTATTTTTAATATTTTTAAGGCATCTAAATTAGGAGTAGAAAATGAGCTTGCAAAATACCCAATGGACATTAAGGCAAGTTAATTTTCCTTCTATACACCGCCTGCTTCAGCATATGGATAGAGTAGGCATTCTTGCTCCTGTCCCTCCTTAAATCTCCTGGATCCGCTAAATGGATCTAGAAAATAGATCTAGCCGTTTTCTATTTATTACAGCTATTCACATATCTGCCCTATCTTCTTGGAGTCTCAGAAAGAAAGACTGAATAGGGCAAAAGAAATTATCTAGAGATTATGGTTTAGAATTTTCTAAAACTGATATAAGACATCAATCAGGATTGCAGAAGCTCAGTGAATTCCAAACAGGATTTTATATTAATATAAAGAATGGTATGCTTAGACACATTATAGTCAAATTGTTTAAAACTAACACTAAGAACAAGCTGCCAAAGGAGCAAAATGATAAATTATCTTCAAGAGATGAAGCTTAACAGCCAACTTCTAAAGAAATACAATGAAGTTAGAAAACAATGGAACAATAACTACAGAGTTCTGAAAGAAAAAACCGCCAAGTTAGAAATCTAAAACAGCAAAAATATATTTCAAAAATGAAGACAAAACTAAGAACACTTTTAAACAAATAAAATCTTTAAAAAAAAAAGAATTTGTCACAACACACTTACATTATTTAAAAAAATACAATAGGAAGTTTTTCAGGCTGAAGAAAAATTATGCTGGATAGAAACATTGATCACTAAGCTTAACATTTTTCCTTGATATTCTTATTAGTGATGTATGAACAGTAAATATATGAAGATACTCAATGTCATCATTCATTAGGAAAATTAAAATTAAAATTACAAGACACCATCATACAGAACAGATATGAGTGGAAAAAGCTGACAGAAACCAGTTCTGAAGGTAGGGATTGAAGGAAGTGAAATTCGTATGTTCGTGAAACCATGCACTGATATAACCACTTTGGAAAACTTTTTGACAATATCTTCCATAGCTGAAAACTCTCTTCCCCAAAACCAAGAAGTTCTATAGGTGTATATCCAAGAGAAATATGTATATACGACCACCAAAAGAAATATATAAAAATATGCACAAGAACTTTACTCATAATAGTCAATTTTTGAAAATTACCCAAATGTCTACTACCAATAGATTGGATAAATAAATTTTTACTATTTACATATACAGAATGCTAAACAATAGTAAAATAAAGAATAAACTTTTGAAATGTAGAAAACATGAATGATTCTCAAAAACAACACGTTAAATGGAAGAAGACAGATACAAAAGAGAACCACATACTACATGATTTCACTTATATAAAGTTCAATAACAAGTAAAAATTAATGAATGGTGAAAGAAATTAGAACAGTGATTACTTCAGGGAAGTAGGACACAAACTGAGACAGGGACTGAAAGGGGACTTTTTGCTATGCTGGAAACATTCTACATACCAACGTGGGTGAAGGTTATAGGAGTCCACATGTACATAAACATTCATTGTTCATACACATAAAAGCAAAATGTGTATATTATTATATGTATATCACCATATTAAATAATCAATAAACAAAAAAATCTTGAGTCACAAAGGGGAAGTAATTCACATGTAGAGATTTTAGTATATATTGAAAAACGGAAAACAGTTGGTGCTACTGGTGTCTGTAATCTTTTCTCTAATGGACCTCTAAAACAATGATAGTAAAGTTTTATAATTGTAAACAACTTTGGTTCTCTCTTAGGAGTTATAAGTTCTTGATTATTTGTTCATACATACATTTCTTTATTCACAAAGTATATAAACTAAATTGTATGTTACATCCTTCATTTTAGAGAAAATAAATCTGAAAAGATAGAAAAAGCACTTTGAGAGTGAATTATAAATAGAATGGTCAGGAAAGACATCATGGGCAACCTCAATCAAGTAGAGAGGAGCTTTGAGTAGAGAGGCAAGCCATTATACCAAAGCAAGGCCATTAGGGCAATAGCTAATGCAAAAGTCCTAATGTCAGGGATCTACCTGGCTTATGGTGGGGGGGACAAAAACAGCAAGGAGCCAGAATGGCTTGAACTTACAAGGGAAAGAGTACTAGGAAATGATTTCAGAAAGGAAATAAGAAGCCAGATCATACATGGTCTTAGGCCATTAAAATGAATTTGGTTATTATTGTGAATAAGAAGGAAAGCCATTAGGACTGGGGAAAATTCAGGGAAATAAAATGATCTAAATTGCATTTTGATACAATTACTTAGCTGTTATGTTGAAAATAACTGTGGAAAAGCATATAGGGGTGTTTAAAAAAGGGAGAGCAGTAAGATGTTGAAAGACAGAGGGGGGGGGAGAGATAGATAGATAGATAGATAGATGATAGATAGATAGATAGATATGATATGGTTTAAAGCATGGTTAAGAACCCTACCCCACAGTGAATGATAATCAGATTTTTGGGTTTGATACCCAGTATGGCAAAAACAAAGTAAAAAAGATTCTGAATCTATTACAACAGCAAAGCTGACCTGATATGCTGATAAATCAGATGTAGGAATTGAGAGACAGGAAGTAAGGTTTTCTCTTCTGAAAACCGAAAACATGTTATAGTCTAGCATACGCTAACATTCAAAGGTCAAACTGAAGGAGCAATCAGCAAAGGAGAATGAGGACACCTTCTAAGGAAAAACAAAACCAACTGGATAAAGTGCCCCAGAAGTCAAAAAAGGAAAGTGTTTTCTAAGGAAAAAATGCTTAATTGGGTCAAATGCTGCTGACAGGTAAAAAGATAAGAACTGAAAAACAGTCACCAGATTTTGCAAGACAGGGCAGGGAAACAGGCTAAGGCACAAAAGGATTATTGGGCAGGATTAAGAGCTGACTTGAGACTAGTGTTCATGAATATGAAGTGATACCAGTCAGTATGTTGTATTTTAAGAAAGATACCTTGAGCTCCACACATGTAGTTGCAAAGCTGCATTTAAAAAGCAGTTTGACAAACAGAAAGGAGAACAACAGATTTGAAGGCAGATATAAGAGTATGATTATCACAGATCATATAATGAAAAAAGAAGGTATAAGATAAATAGTGAAATGATGATTGTAGGATGACACAGAATTGCTGATAACAGTGGAACTGAATAAATGTTGGAGGTAAGGCACCAGAGAGAATTCATTAGAAAATTACAAGGAGGAGATAATGGAGGAGTTGCTTAAAACTGAGATTAATAAAATTACTGTAATTGTGGAAAATATCTTGCCAGTATCAGACAAAGCAAATAAAGTAGGGTGAAGATTCAAGATTCTTACAAGTGAAGAATTAGGAAACTAAGAATCTTAGAAGTTTTACCTATATATATTTTTAAATCACCCATCATTGAAATAGGAATAATGATATAAACAGTGACAGTAGGACAAGAGCTAGAATTCTTTAAGGATTGAGGAAAAAATGATATGAAAAGTCATTAAAGTATTATAAAAGCAAGAAGAGTCCTCATTCCTCTCTTCACAGAGGTATTTATTCTCACATATTTTACACACTTATATACCACACCCATGGAAGACATACTATTTTGTTGTTGTTTACCGTTAACTGTATGATTTTACATAAATGATATTATACTGTGTTCTTTATAAATTTCTACAATTTGAATTTTTATCACTTAAAAGATTTTCTTTTGAAGATAAAACAACCACTTGTAATAGCTCCTGACACTGTGGGTCCAATTTTAACAGGGAAAACATTATCCTTAAATATATATACCTTGAAGCTTTCTACTAAGTTCAAGTTTTTCCTGTTCAAGACGCTTAATTCTTCTCTCATAAGCTTCTGTTGCTAAGTTGTTATCAAGAGTCCTCTGGACATTAACATCGAGATCCAGTGAGGTGGGACCAGCTGTGACTCTTAAACAGCTCCGATCAGAAAGAACACTGAAGGGAAAAAATATATATGTGGGTTCACACTGCAATAAAAAGTCTGAAAAAAAATTACCTTTTGAAATTTAACACATGGATTTGAATATCTATAGTAGAATGACAGTAAAAAATACTTTTTATAAAATTACCATAAGACACTGTTAAAAGTATTTTTTGAATGAAAACTTAAATCCACCAAATGGTTCTAAATTTTAAAAAGCACTAATTTTTATAAAATTAAATTTGGTGAAGGATTAGTGGTTTGACCACAGTTAAGTATAATAGCAGTCAAAACTAACAACCATAGTGCTCTTTACCAGAATTTGAAATCTAAAATTCAAAAGGTGCTTTCCTTAATTCAATAGAAGTTAATTAAAAATAATAGAGGTAATAGACATTCAGCAATAAAGAAAATAAATAGAAATCCTTGTCAATGTAGAGCTAAAATTTTGTTACAGGAACAGAAAGAAGATAAATAAATAAAATATTCCATACATTAAAGTGTTAAATGCTAAAAAGAAAACATGAAGCAGGGAAATGAGAAATGAAGTCTTGAGGCAGAAGAGATAAAGGTTTAGATGAAGGGATCAGAAAAGCTACTCTTGTGACAACAACTATGAGAAAAGCTAAGTAAGTGTAGGAGGCCAGCAAAAGGTATATTAGAAGGAAGAGCATTCAGGAAACTGGAATAAGAATGCAAGGGTCCTGGGTCAGAAAAGAGTTCTGTGTGGATAGAATGGAGTAGAATAAGGAGAAGAACAGAAGGAAATAAAATTAGGAAAAATAAAAGAGAGCCAGTTATATAGGGCCTAGTAAGAACTTTGGTTTGGAGTAAAGATACAAAGTCACTGAAGTTGAGCAGTGAAGGGGACTGGTCCTGAACAGGGGAGTGACATGTTCTGACTTAACTTACAACAGGATACTGGGACAGGTTCAGAAAAATATAACAAAGGAGATTATGAACATATTATGTAGGATTAAGATAAATTTGAAGTAGAAGAGAGAAAAGAGGTCTCAGCTACAGATGCATAGCCCAAATATCTGGGAAAACAATAAAGAAGAAGTTGGGAAAAAGAAATCCAAAGACTGAGCCCTAGAACACTCTGATATTCAGAAATCCGGATGATTAGGAGGAATCAGGTATGGAGACCGAGGAGTACCCAGAAAAGTAAAAAAGAAAATCAGCAAAGTGCTCTAGACGTGAAGAGAAGAAGGTTAGTGATCTGTAGCCATAGAAAGAAGACGAGACAAGGCAAAATCAGTAACACTAGGAATGAGAAGTGATCACTAGATTTAGCAACACAGAAGGCAATGAAAACATGATAAAAAAGCAGTATGCATGAAGTGACAGGGAATAAATCTCCATCTTGGATTCAAGAAAGAACAGAATGAAAAACACAAATAGTCAACAGTCAGAAGTAATTTTGCTATATGTAGAACAGAGAAAAGGTTGGTAACAAATGGGATCCAGAGATATTTTTAATTTTGCTTTAAGAAGGAAGACGAACAGTGTTTTTATAAACCAAGGGAAATTATCTGCTGATAGAGATGACACATGGGGAAAAATTATGGTATAAAACTGAGCAGTGCACTGTGCTAGACAGTAGAGATAGAACGAGTTGACCTTACTTGCAAGCTTACATGGCCTATCTATGAAAAGAAAAGCACATATGAATCCAAAGGTATGCAGGTAGAAAATCTAGTAAAAGTTTGCAGAAGTTGTCTCCTGTTGGTTTCAATCCTCTCAGTGAAACAGAACGCAAGATAATCAGCTGAGAGTGAGGATGATTGAGGTTTTGGAGGCAAATGTGAAATATGAAATTTTTATCCAGGTGAGTGGAAGAGTGAGCACACTAGGGTAAAATAGTATATATGCCAAACAACAACATAGGGCATTTGAATTTGGTGAACTTGAATATATGCCAAACAACAACATAGGGCATTTGAATTTGGTGAACTTGAATTTCTCTCATCACTCTGAACTACATAGGCAGAGATAGAATTTACTTTTAATAATTGATGTTGACTTAGCAAAGCAAGCATAAAAGAATGAGAGATGGCCAAGGGAACTGAAGTGGCATGTAAGGAGTGATTATACTCATTCTCAGTGGAATCTAAATTGGGTGAGGAGGAACAAGAAGGTATAAAGGCAGTGAGGAATTGGTTAAAGGATGGTAACATCAATAAGCTGAAAATTCTGGTGCTTGACATCTAAAGAATATTATTCAATACCCCATGGTAGGACTCTTTCAATTCCTGATAACAGATTATGAGCTCTCCAGTGGTCCTACTGTTTCCTCTCTAAAATGAGTTAATCTTCTTGTGTATACTATTCATTTTCTATATCTAGCTTTTTCCCAACTGTAGATTAATTATATTTTTAAAAAAATTACCAAGGCTCTCTCATATATTATATATTTTTTAAAAATCCATGTAAATTGTCGAAATTATATTAACTTTTGAAACTTACCAACTACTAGTATAAGTAAAACCAACAAATGGCAGATGATGACCAGAAAATGCAGTATGTGTTGGTGGAGGCATTGTTTCCTAAAGGAAGGGGAAAAAAATCTGGTAAAAAATAGATAGTCATGACCTGTATGTTGGGCTATAAATATTAACTGTCAATGGAAATATGTGACTATTCCATTTAGGAACACTGGTAATTTTGGCACAGATATTAAGTGATAAAAAATTTACATCATGAACACTGGTACTATAAAATTATAATAAATGAAAATGAAGACTGAAAATCTGATAGTAACAGTACAGTCATTTACTGATATATTCTGCCTTTGCAATTTTTCTAGATGATACAATTAATTTGTAAACTCAAAAGCAACACTCAGTGTTTTTGCAACCATTCAAGATGTACAGAGCAGAGCAAAATTTAAGCTGCTCTATGCTCAGATTCCTAGCCATGGCTTGAACACCTAAAGTCATTCAAGCTTTCACACTGTAAACAAACATCCACTACATATATAAACATTTATGTTTCTTACATTTTTGTACCTTTTGTGAGAGATTCCACTGTTTAAATGACTCCCAAGTACAGCACTGATGTTCTGTCTAGTATTTCTTTTTTTTGGTACTGGGGTTCAACCAGGGACACTTTACCACTGAACTACATCCCCAGCCCTTTTGTTTTGTTTGTTTGTTTGGTGTGTAGGGGGGTGCGTACTGGGGATTTAACTGGGGCACTCAACCACTGAGCCCTATTTTATATTTTATTTAGAGACAGGGTCTCAGTGATTTGAACTCATGATACTCCTGCTTCAGCCTCCCAAGCACTGGGATTATAGGTGTGTGACATGGCACCTGGCTTACTTATTTTTTGAGACAAGTCAAGGCTAAATTGATGAGGGTCTCACTAATTTACTCAGACTGGCCTCAAATTTGCAGTCCTCCCACTTCAGCCTCCCAAATTGCTGGGGTTACAGTCAAGTGCCACTGCACTCAGCTCTATCTAGTGAGAAAGCTATAATGTACCTTAACAGACGTAATAACATCTTAAATAAGCTTCATTCAGGCCATGAATTACAGTGTTGCTAAACGTAAGTTCAATGCCAATGAATTAACAATATATGAGGAGTCTTTAAATAGCATCACACATAAAACACAATTAGGTATTGGTAAGTTCATGAAAATGTTATGACCACAAAAACCTAAACATGTCTTTCTAAGAGTGATGAATCAATGTTAGCTAATATAGTGTTCACAATAACTTTATAAAATATAATACCATGAATAATTAGAATTAACTGTACCATAAATTTAATTTGGAATGACTCATAATTTCTGTTAACAGTGAATATAATATATAATTCTAATAATAAAATATTGGTGAGGAGCTGGGCAAGGTGGCACATGCCTGTAATTACTGTAATTACTCAGGAGGCTGAGGCAAGAGGATCACAAGTTCAAGGCCACACTGAGCAACTCTGCAAGACTATTTCTCAAAAATCAGGCATGGTGGCACACTCCTGTCATCCCAGCAGTTTGGGAGGCTGAGAGAGGAGGATCACAAGTTCAAAGCCAGCCTCAGCAACAAGGAGGAGCTAAGCAATTCAGTGAGACCCTACCTCTAAATAAAATACAAAATAGGGCTAGGGGTATATGGCTCAGTGGCTGAGTGCCCCTGAATTCAATCCCTTCTATACCTTCCTCCCTGCAAATCAAAGAAAAGATCAAGAGCTGGGAATATAGTTCTACACTCAGTGGTACAGTATTTGTTTAACATATACAAAAACCTGGGTTCAATTCCCAGTAGAACAAAAATTTTGTAAAGGATGCAAGGAAAGTCTATCTAGTTTTTTCTTGTGAAGTTTTGAAAGTGTAAGAGAAGTTCTTACCTGCCTTGAGTATATTAAGAACAGTAAAAAATCATATAAAATAAATATTAAAAAATTTAGTACAGAATAAAAACCACAAGAAGTAAAATTCAGTAAAACAAAACTCAAAAAGAGAAGTAAAAAGGCAAAAAAATCTACAAATTTTACATGCTTATTTTCCTAAATTTTAATATAACCTGATGATTCACAACAGAGATCAACACACCATGCTATCCTTGTAAGAATGGTAGAATATTTTTCTAGTTCATTTGCCTGCCATTTTCCTCAAGCAGAGTCATAGCCTCAGGCTAGTAAGGCTCTGGACTTCCCCCATTCATTTCCTACCAAGTTTGCTATTTTTTGCAGCAACATGATTGGTGTGGTTATTTAGCTCTCCAAATTGAGTCTTCCCCTTCTGGCAGCAAATGCTGTCTTTTACATCCAGAACCATTCTACTAGTACAAGTGTCACAACCAAGCAGATAATGAGGATGGAGGATGTGCTATGTGTAATTTTAACCAAAGCTAAGGAGTGTTTCATGAATAAATTCTCAATTTATTTCCCTTTGGTTAACATATTAAGCCATTAAATGGTTTTTGACAGTTTTGACTAGTTTCGGGACTGGTTTTTAGGGAGAGATTTCCCAACTCCTCCACTTTACAATCAAGAAAGCATGCAATTTGTCTTCTTCTTAGGAAATCTACTGAATAACTTATCAAAGAAGTTAAGTCTTTGAATTTTACTCAATTGTGAATAACTACATTGGCCCCAGTTAACTCTTCATTTCCCTATTACATACTGGAAGTCTTGACTATTGTTTGATTAATAATTGATAAGGTGGTCCTAGTACAACATTGGTAAACCAAAAAATTACTTTATAAGCATATTTAAAAGAAACAGGAACAGAACTTCTTCATAATGTCATACTTACAGAATTTTTTAAACAGTCATCATCTACATCAAAATTTGATGTATCTGTTGGGCTACTAACTTCTGGAATATAAGGTGCTTCACAGTTTCTAATATTATCCCAATCAATTCCACTAAAAAATGGATGTTTCTTAAAGTCTTCTATTCCATTTTGACCAAGTCGATGCTCTCTGCTACAAATAAGTCTTCGAATAAGATCCTTAGCATTTTCAGATACATCAGTCACTTGGGCTGGAAACTGAAATCTCTCCTATACAAAGAATGACAGAAACAAAATGAGTATAGATCAATATTAAGCTTATTAAGTAGTGTAATTGATTTGTATATTTTTCTTAAAAATACGTTTCATTTTTAAACGCCTGGTAAGTGTATGCTGGGAAATAGTACTAATACTAAAGGAGATATAGGGATGAATAAAGAAAAGATCATTTCCCTAAAAGAACTTTTAATTTTATATGTGACTTAGTCACATTTGTGCTACAGAAAGAGTAAATACTATAAAACCTTACACTGTTATTAGAATGAAAAGGACTGATTAAGAGTGGGAGAATTCAACTCAATATCTCAATAAGATGTAGATGGTTGATAATTTTCCTATACAATACAAACTAATTACTAACTTATTAATATTAAACATTTTTAAAGAATGTAATATGTATCTGATGCTATTAAAAGTGATTTACCCCTTTAACTCATTTAGTCTTTAACACTATCATCTTAGGTATGTACTACTACTATGGAAGAGGAAACCAAGTAATTTTCTCAACTAGTAGAATAACAGAAATGGATTTTGAACTGGAGTTATCTCACTCCAGAACTGTGCTATTAAATACCATGTTACACTACAATAATTTCTTTTTTTAATATTTATTTTTTAGTTATAGGTGGACACAATGTCTTTATTTTACTTTATGTGGTGCTGGATTGAACCCAGTGCCTCATGCATGCTAGGCGAGCGCTTTACCTCTGAGCCACAACCCCAGCCCTACAGTGATTTCTTAAATGCTGTCCCTGATTTTTCTTACAACTAACTAATCTTTCTTTGTAGCTATTTACAGCACTATCTTTGCAGGTAGGTGGAAGAACAAAAACTTCTATAAAACTGATTTATACACTTGTAAAGCAAGTAATCATAATTGCATCACCAAAACAAAAGAACAGATTCTCATTCCTTTTGGGGGATATTCCTATTCATATGTAGGATTTTTGCAAGTGCTCACAATCTTCTGAAACTCTTCAAACTAAACCTTTCCTCTGATTATGTACAATCTTTCTTATTTCACTTTGTACTAAGTAGATTAAAGTTTTTGTAAATTTCTTCCTGTCATACATTTGTATTGTTTCTAATGTTTCATGATCCTGAATAATATCAAAATAGATTATCTTGTATACACATCTTTGTCCTTCTAAATATTTCAATTGGGTGGATTCCTAAAACTAAAGTTGCTCAATGAAAAGTTCTAACCATTTGTTAAGGCATTTAGGTGCATGCCTGTAAGCTTCCAGACAGAAAGATTACATCAATTTATATTCCTATCAAAAATACCTCATAATGCTCATCACAATAAATTATTTAATAGAGTACACTTTTTTTTTAATTTGAAAATTTGACAAGAAAAAAAGGCATCTAATTTTTATTTATACTTGCATTTCATTTGTCAATACTATGGTTGAGATTTTTTTTACATACATTCTAATCATAAATCCATGCACAGTGTCATGAGCAATGACTAAAATTGTCCATTATGACCTTTGTTATTCAGTTGAAAAGACCATTCAATTTCCTACTCATTAGCGTCTCCAAATAAAATATAGTAGAAAGCTATAACTAATGACTTTATGTATAATTTATGGATTGTCATGTACCTACTAACAAATGTAGTTCATTGTTTTTAGAAAAATATTTTCTATTTCCATTTAATTAAACTATATTACTTATCATAATAATCTGGTTTTAAAAAGTAAAATATATACTAACTTTGTGATTCATAATTTTCCCATATGTCTCCACCAGAGATTCTGCATAGAATGGTGTTTCTCCATACAGCATTTCATACATACAGACCCCCAAAGACCACCAGTCACACTCAGGTCCATATCTGCCTTTTCCATCTTCCATTGCTTGAAGGATTTCAGGAGAAATGTAATCTGGGGTCCCAACTGCCACTGAGGACTGGACCTGAAGAAATTTACATTTTTATTAATCTACTGTAAGATATTAGGAACAAAATAATTATATATTATAAAATTACACTTGAGATTCACCACAGACAATGTTACCTCACAACTACTACATCTTTGTCATTATCTGAATTTAGTCTCCCACTATATAGGAAACTTATATATAGGTAAGATTTTGTATAATCTCCATGTTAGTGGTTTTTCAGATTACATAATACTATAGAATCTCTATTGTAGATGTTACTTAGTTGACTAGATTTAGGGTAACAATATGACTGGAATCATCACAGTTGTTAATAATAAACTGAATATTAGGTTTAAAATATTGACTTATTAACATCTGTATAATTAGTGTGTTTGTATATGTATAAATGGAACTGTGAAAATGTTACAATTAGAGGGGGGAGGGGACAATGAACAAAATTTAGGCCAATATTGAAGATTATGTTTAAACTTATGGTAACCTATGAAAAATAAATGCCAATGACAATGTAACAAAGTATTTACTAATGAAAAAATTATAAAGGAGAAAAAGTATATACTTCAAAACCACAGTTTCCACACACACACACACACACACTGCCCCACCAAAATTGTGGATATAATTCACTATAGCAGATTAGGTGTTAAATTAGAAAACTAGGTTAACTAAAAAAGATCCTCAGTACATACAATCTAAGGTACCTTGAGATGGCACTTTATATTTTTTAAAAGCATAGCAAAAACTGAACATTCTCAAGGTAAACAAGGCTTATTATTCTTGATTTTACACACTGAATTACTAATCTCAATAATTAGGATAGGTTTTAATTTGACAACACTGAGTTGACATAACTTAAAAATTCTTCATTATGACCTCTTAAAAATACAACAGCGATTCTTATAAATATAAAAACACAACTCTTAAAAAAAGAAATTCTGAGGGGTCAATAAGCAATAAATGGTTGACCAGGAAAGTGATAAGCATTAGAGCTGGGATGGGGTTGGAGTGTTCCTGGTTTTCATTTTCTAGGTACTTAGTTTTTAAAATACATAAGGAACAAAATGAAAAGACCCATGAGATTATGTAAAGTAGGGACTTTGAAGGGAGGCTACCTTATATTATATGCCCTTTGCCTTAAGAGGTACATTATTTAGTGAAATGGAAAATTATAAAAATTGCCACACAGTCAAGAATGACAAGAAGACTTGTTATTGTGGCTGATTTGTGAAATATATTTCTCCTGCAGAATAAAAATTCCTAATTTAAGATCACAAGATCTTAATATTTGGGATTCTAACTCACACTGCTTCTGAAGTCCATATGTTCTCAAGCCAAAAACTGGCATAAATCTTGGCCCTATAGTCAATTTGTTTGCCTCTATGAAGCAAAACAAATTCAAAATTACTTTGGAGGACAAATGCTTAAATTTGGCCAGATACAATTCTCACACACACACACACACACACACACACAAATCTCACTAAGAATGAGCTCACAATCCAATAATATAAACCAAATGAGGAAACTGTCCATTATAACTAGCAGTCAAAAATTCCAACAAACAATGTATTGTAACAAAGTATTTATTAATGAAAAAAATTATAAAGGGGGAAAATTAATTCCTAACAAATATGAGATCTTCTGCTTCAAATAAGTATGTTTAAAATTACTAAAGACACACAAAAAAATTTAAAAAAAAAACAGATATATACAAACAAGTCTCAGAAATGAATTTATTGAAATTTTGAAAATACAGTGAACAAATGGATTACATACATTGAAAAGAAGGTTACACCTGAAAAAGAGCTTAAGAAGTTCATCACCATCCAGTATGAAAAGATACAAAGATGAAAGATATAGAAGAGTACCAACACTGGAATGAGTAGGTTCAATACCGTATAACATGAGAGAATAAAAGAAAGGACAAAAATGCTGAAAAACAATATTCAAAGAGTTACAGCTTTAATATTTTTCAAGAATAATATAAGGCTTGAATCCTTGGAATCAGGAGGCTATTTAGTCCTGAAAACATAAAACCAGCTCCACTTCTATACCCACTATAGTTACATTATGGAATACCGAAGGCAAATAGATTTTTAAAAACATTGAAAACACCCCCCCAAAAAATTTTTTTTGTGGTGTGTGTGTGTGTGTGTGTGTGTGTGTGTTGCTGTGTATCGAAACAGGTGAGGCAAGCACTCTATCAACTGAGCTGTATACCCAGCCCACAAAAAGATTATCTAAGAGGTTGCGGGTGCAGCCTAGTGATAGAGCACTTGCCTGGAATGCTGAAGGTCCTAAGGTTCAATCACCAGTACTGCAAAAATATAAAAAGATTATCTACCAAAGAATGACAATTAGATTGACAGATGAAATATTAATACTACCAAATAGCAGTGAGAACAAATGGAATCATAACTTACAAGTAATGAGATAAAATAATTATCAATACAATATTTCCTACTGTATCAGTCACCTTTGTATTGCTGTGACCAAAATACTTAACAACAACAAGTAAGAAAAGTTTATTCAGGTATTAGTCACCTTTGTATTAGTCACCTTTGTATTGCTGTGACCAAAATACTTTACAACAACAAGTAAGAAAAGTTTATTCAGGCTCATGGTTTCAGAGGTTTGGTCCATGGTTGGCTAACTTCATTGCTCTAGACCTGAGGCAAGGCAAAACACTGTGGCAGCAGGATGTGATAGAGGACAGTTGTCAGCTCATGACAGCCAAGAAGCACAAAGAGGGGAAAGGGCAAGTAAGAGATATAGTCCAAGACTATGTTCCCAATGCAGCTATCACCCAGGAGGCCATTCAAATTATTAATCCAACAAATAGAGTAATCTACTGATGAGTTTACAACTCTCATAATCCAGTCTTTTAAATTCTCAACACTGCCTGACATATGAGTTCTTTGGGATCATTTTTAGATCCAAACCATAATATCCATCTATCTAAATTAAGATACAGTAATGTGTTAAAGACATTTTCATAAAAAGATTGAGTGAGCTGTAACTTATAGATCCTTTCAGAAAAGTACTAAAGGGTATACTTCAAAAAACACAAACTCAGATTGAGGAATGTGATACTAGAAGCAATCAAAAATAAGGATATTAGTAAATTTAAACATGTACTTACATGATTATTTATTACATAACATAATGGAGGAGGAGGACGAGGAGGAGGAGGACGAGGAGGAGGAGGAGGAGGAGGAGGAGAAAGAATAACAAGACAAGGAAGAAAATGTCAACTACTATTAAGGTCAAAAACTAAGGTGTCTTATAAATACTTACAACTATAATTTGTTGATTTAAACCTAATACAATAAAATTATTTTAAAATCCACCCACTTTACCTCCCTACCCTCATCCCCCCACCCTCAAAAAAAAAAGAAAGAAAGAAAAAAACCCTAAAACACTAGAAAACAGTAACATTCTACTGAGGAAATGATTAGGATTAAAAGGGTCTAAGTTTTTAAAAGGGTCTGTTTATTTAGTTGTCTTAAAGTAATAATTCCCTCATTTCCCTCCCCGTAGTACCTGGCAATCATCATTGAACTTTTGAGTATTTTTTAATTTGGCTCCTCTAGGTACCTCATATAAATGGGATTAGATATTATTTGTTCTTTTGTAACTGGATTATTTTACTTGTATGTCCTTAAGGTTCACCCATGTTATCACATGTATAAGAATGCCCTTTCTTTTCAAGGCTGATAAGTCATTGTGTCTATATACTCATTCTGTTAACAGACATTTGAGTAGCTTTGAATTTTTGGCTATTGTAAATAATGCTGCTATGAACATGGGCATAAAAACATCTGTTCAAGCCTCTGTTTTTATTTCTTTGGGGTATTTATGCATAATAGAAATTGCTGGATTACTTGATAATTTTATTTTTAATTTCTTGAAGAACTATCCATATTTTTTTCCATAGCAGCTATACTATGCTATACTATGCTACATTTCTATCAACAGTGCCCCAAAGTTCCTATTTATTCACATCCTTGACAACACTTCTTATTTTCTGGTTTATTACCAGCCATCCTAGATATGAGGTGCCCAATATGACTTTGATTTGCCTTTCTATAAGGATTAGTTTTAGTGAGTGTTTATTGGCCATCTGTGTATCTTCTTTGGAAAATTGTCTATTGAAGTCCCTTGTGGTTTTTTCCAATGGGGTTATTTTTGTTGAGTTTGATTAGTTCTTTTATTCATTTTTTAAATTAACATGTTATTAGGGGCTGGGGATGTGGCTCAAGTGGTAGCGCGCTCGCCTGGCATGCGTGCGGCCCAGGTTCGATCCTCAGCACCACATACAAACAAAGATGTTGTGTCTGCCGAAAACTGAAAAATAAATATTGAAATTCTCTCTCTTTCTTTAAAAAAAAACATGTTATTATATATGATTTGCAAATATTTTGACCCATTCAACATGTTGCCTTTTAACTCCGAAGAATGATGCACAAAATTTTTTGAGGATATAGTACAACTTATTTTTCTTTTGTTGCCTATGATTTTTGTATTATGCTGAGAAATAACTATCAAATCCAATGTCATAAAGCTTTTACCTATGCTTTCTTCTAAGAGTTTTATAGTCTTAGTTTTTATATTTAAGCATTTAATTCATTTTGAGGTTTTTGTTTATTTGTTTAGAGTACCAGTGAATGAACCTAAGGGAGCTTAGCCACATCCCTAGCCCTTTGTATTTTTTGAGACAGGGTCTCACTAGGTTGCTTATAGCCTCACTAAGTTGAATTTGCAATCCTTCTGTTTGGCCTCCTTAGGTGCTGGGATTATAGATGTGCACCACCACACCCAGCTTGAGTTAATTGTTATGTATGATGTAAACTAAGTTTCTTTCTTTTTTTTTTTTTAGTTTTTTTCTTGTTTTATTTTTTATTTATTTATTTTTCTTTTTTATATAATTTTCTTTTTTTTTAAATTTTTTTAACTACCCGACAGCAGTACAAAGCATTACAATTCTATTACATATATAGGGCACAATTTTTCAT